CAGAGGATAATAAATGGCGCCCTATCTGCTGCATCGAACAGGGTGGATAGGGGTTTAGATGCTACTGCTCAAGCCTTCTCGTCCTTTTACTCCCCTTCTCTCTTATCGTCCTGCTCGAACTGCACTTTTATCGCCCCTATTTTCAATCCTAAAACTCTTGGCCCTCCCCCGACTTACTTTAATAGTCGCTTGTCTTCTAGTTTCAACTCACACGCAATCACAGGGCACCGCTCCAGTCCCATCGACAAGTCCAACATCAATCAAGCGGACGTTTCTCTTTGGAGTCATCGTTCCTCGCTAAGACTGGCATGCACACTTTGTTACAGATTGGCCATCGATATTTGCTGCTTATCGGAAACCCGCCTGCAAAATCCGAATTTCGTGCTTACCCTACGTTCTCAGACATGCGACCTTGGCGGAACATTCTCATTGCGCCTATCTGGAGATGACGCAGCTTCAAATGCCGGTCAAGTCAGCGTGGGCATTGTTTTGAGTCCATGGACTGGAGCAGCAATGATTGGTTACATCCCAATCAACCGCAGGATGTGCGCCGTTAGATTGGCTGGCTTGTTCCAGGCTTCGAAGTCGCGCGGTGACAAACTGCCTGTTTGTCATTGCAGCATACGCGCCCACAGACTGTATCATTGCTTCGGTGAAAGATTAATTCTATTACCAACTTAACGGTCTGCTTCATTACAGAAAAAGTACGGATATTGTGGTGCTTGCTGGTGATTTAAACGCCTAAGTCGGAAAATTACCTTCTCATGAGCTTCATCTGGGCGGCGAACATGATGTAGGCTCCCGGAATTATAACGGTGAACGGTTGCTACACGTGCGTGAAGATACTCGTCTCTTTCTCGCGAGAACTAACTTTTGACACAGCACCCGCAGATGAGTGACTTGGCGCCCACCTGCCATGGACGCAAACCTCTAGAGAGGCTGTGTTCAAAACTGTCGCTCGATTTGGAGCACGAGCGTAGGAACCGATTATGCTCTTGTGTATACCTACCTTCGGATGGTTTTTGGCTGACTTCCGCAACGTCGCTGTGCCCATAAGCACCAGTCAACTGGTGAAGCCAGGTGTTCTGAATGCGTATCAAAGTACGCTGGCATGCGGGCTGAGTAAGCACCCACTGAACACCGGCGAAGATCCCTGGTCGCATATCAGCAGGCATCTCTTCATGTGGCAAATCAAATTGCCAACCTAGACACTGGGTCTCTACACAGTCTCTGGAACTTTTGGTTGCTCGCCGGCGTATTCCGGTTGAAAGCGAACATAATGAGACTCGCAAAAATCTCAGGGCAAAACTGGGTGCTAGGCTGAAGAGAGACCGCGAAGTCCGGTGGTCTTATCGTGCATCGGAAATGGGAACAGTCGCTGCCGCTGGTACTCATCGTGTTATTCCATCTACTACAGGAAATGGGCAGCAGGAGACCTGGTGTTGGCAGAACAATACGCGACGAGAGTGGACAGCCGATCCACAGCCTGTCAAAAACCTTGAAGCGTTGGGCCGAACACTGTGAGAAGCAGTTCACTCAGTCAGAGTTGGCTTCTCACCAGCCGTTGGTCGCCCTATTCCGTGGATCCGCCCGCACGCACAGAAAGTGAACGGGAGATCAGACTTTTGAAATTGAATAACGCCGCAGGAGAGATAGAATTTCTTCAGCCATCCTCTGGTTCGGCGGACCTGCTCTTACAGATGATTTACACGAGTTACTGGTGAAAATCTGGCGGCAAGAAACTGGATCCTCTCCGTTACAATCCTAATTTTCTAGAGATGATCCCGTTCGGAATGTAGCAATCATAGAGGGATCAGTCTGATCTCGATTGCCGCTAAATTACTTGCGTCTATCATTCTCCACAGACTGACTGGCACTCGTGAAAGTCAGATTCGCGAAGAGCAAGCCGGGTTTCGTCGAAATCGAGGTTGCATCGACCACACCTTTACTTTACGTCAATTGTTGGAGCACCGCCATGTTTATTGGCGACCCACCGTTGTCCTGTTTCTCGACAGCAATGGTGCCTTCGAATCGGTCGATCGATGTGCTCTTTGGGACTGTCTGCTGAGAAAAGGTGTGCCCGATAAATATTTAAGCATTATCAAGGCGCTGTACGTGTATAGTTCGGGCAGAGTAAGGGGTTGGTGGCAAACGGTCGCCATTTTCCAGTATCACCAGGGGGTGTGAGACAAGGTTGCCCGCTGTCACCTTTCCTCTTTAACTGCGCTAGTGATGAAGTCATGGAAACAGCATTCGCTGGACACGGCCTAGAAGGTGTGGAGCTCCTTCCTGGTGAGCGAATTCTTGATTTACAGTATGCAGATGGCATTGCCCTCATACGTGACAGTGCCCAAAAGTTCGAAGCAGCACTGGACAGATTAGCACTGGATGTCAATTGTTTTGGGCTATATTTTGCTTCATCGGAATGCAAAGTCCCACTCCTGCACCGACCCTTAGTGGGGATCAGCTAGAAGTCATTCAGAAATCCAAGTACCTTGGTAGCTATAGTAGCGCTCGTGGGATTGTAGATGTGGTCATGAACCGTATAGGAAAAACTCGAGGTACTCTTGCCGCTCTTCGCCACCTGTGGCGCTGACGCGACATCACTCTCGCCCTGAAGGGCAAAGTTTACAATGCAGCCGTCCGCTCAACCCTCCTGTAAGGTTGTGAGACCTGGCCCATCATGTATGGTGGGAGCACGGCGTGAGTAATGAACGTGTTCAGCCTCGTGTATTTGGCGCGGGAATCGCGAGTGATTCGCTCAGCACCATTATATCACGCACCAAGCTTCGATGGCTGAGCCATGTGTTGCGCATGCCGGCGCACCGACGTGCGTTGTTTGCGCGCCTGCGTCTGGATGGAAGGGGAATGGAGGCCGAGCGATGGCGTAGTCGAGAGAGATGGAAACCCTCACTTCGAATTCGAAGTTGGCGTCGGATGTTGCATCCCGACTGCCGGGCTGGGGTCCCAAGGGCGATGAACACATTTGGTTAGACACACTTGCTGATAGGGCGAAGAGCCGGCACCGATGGCGTTTTTGCTGTGAGCTGCTTTGCCCATCCCATCTCTTTTTTATTCTACCTTCAATCGCAACCTCCTAGCTAATTAACAATCTTATATTTAACATTATATTACTTGTTTTCTTGAATATTTTGTGGTGTAATTTTTTGTATCGCGGTACATTAGCGGAGGCGTGCTTCTCTCCCTCAGCTAACGTGTAATGCTGCTGCTGATGATTACGTTCCATTCCGATTAGTTTACGCATTTCCCTATTGCTTTCGTTTTCTCTACATTCTATTTGCGCCCTACCTCACTATCTTACCGGTATTATTTATTATTTTTCTTACGGTGTGTCGTGACATTTCGGATCATAGTTATTCGACAACACAAACAACTGGATCACCTGAGCTAACTCGGAAAGTTAATGTCACACTGCACGCGTTGAAACGAAACGGAGCTCCCGGACCCGACGACCTTCCTACATCTTTGCTGAAAGATAGTTTTGACTGGACTCGCTTTTCGATTTAACATGATTTGGAACACAGAAACGACCGACTATGGTGGTATTCTGTGACTTGAAAGCAGCCTTCGACTTTTGATCGGGACAGCTTATAGCACTGCCTATCCGTGAAGGACGTGCCAGCTAAACTGCTTTCCATTCTGAAGTCTACCTTGATTCCTGAGTCCATGAAAGGGTCTGTGGAAAACATCCTTAGGACTGGTGGGGTTCGCCAGGGTTGTCTTATATCTCTTTTTTCCTCCACAATTTCGTGATCGGAATGATCATGAATAATGGTTCCTAGCCTGAAGGATCACAAGCTTGTCCTTCTATCTGAAGGGGCGAGTTCGAGCTTGTTTAGGGACCGGGCGACCCTCGCAGTATCCCTAGCCCACTTGTAACTGGTAGTGGTTGCGCGACAACGAAGCATCGGTACTGTGTAGTGACTCATGCGTGCCTCCTTGTCGGTTCCTTCAGACTCTACTGGAGTGAAGATTTTGCCATGTGACCGACTGCCAAATCTTGGGTACATGAACGACGTAGCTCTCCTTGGGTCTGACACAATGATATTGCAAACACTGCTGGATAGACTTGTGCGTAGCGCTGCACGCTTCGGCATGTGCTTTGCACCTTTAAAGTGCAGGACTTGACCGACTCACTTCTGGTTCCAGCTTGCTCGAGGTGCTCGTCTCACTGCCTCAACTGCGGGTCTTGGACACGTATTGCGCACGCTTAATTCGGCGTTTTTCGCGTGGTATCGCTTTTAACTGCTGGACAGGGCATGGTGAAAATCCTGCAACTTTGCAAAGCTGCATTTGCAGTAAGCGAATTCCAAAGAAAATGAATATAGGGATGCGAGTTGAAGCAAAAAATATGAGGTTGGAGGTCGTAAAACAAACATAACGCATGCAGAACCAAAATGTATTTTTGAAAACCTGTCACCATCTGTGGCTAATTTTGTTAGATAAACCGCGCTGTATCGAAGCTGGTAACTAGACACAGCGTCTTTGATTTTTCGCTCACCGGTCAATGAGCTGAGCCACTTAGTCGTACGGGAAATCATGGATTCGAACTCCGTAGTCTTCGTATGAGCCTCGCACTGCTAATGAGTCCCAAGAGGACGAAACGGTTGTCCAGCGCTTCGTCAAATCTGTACTCGCTGTTTGACTGAATCTAGTTGCGGCGAACCTCCTCGAAAACACAAAACCCCACTTTGCCAGTGGTCCAATTTGTCTTCATTCGTCTCCACAAATGCTTATATAGGCCATCTACGAAAATAGATGAAGTGAGTATTCCAACACGCAAATTTTTGGTGCCACCTTTCGGGCTGTCATTCACGCGTCTTTCAGCGCATATCGGATAACGTTTGTTGCTGATTCCCAAACCATATCTCAATGCTGAATCTTCAGAACTTGTTTTTTCACGCTAGTTGCCTTGAAGGTTTCACACTTCATTTATCGATCTTTAATAGCCGCCCGACCCCGTTCCTAGTCATCTTACAGCGATACGGCATGAGTATGATACTTGAAGGTAAAAGTCAGGTAAACTACTCTTGTTCAAATAATTTTAAGCATCAAAATGATACTATTGTTTTCAGACATCACTTCCATCGAAAATGCACGAACGATGGAAGCCACTGAGCCTGTTTCATTTGATGTATCCCGATGGTTAGAACTCACTTTGATAATGTTGACCTTATGTGCTCAGGCGATCCCTTGGGGAAGCTGCTGGCTATTTTCAGTTCATCACCGCTAGTCATTGGGAGTGGTATTGCAACGTTGGCTATTTTCCGCAGGGATCTGCAGACAGTGCGTATCACGAATCATTATCTAACTCTTTAGATTTCACTATTTATCGGTCTGTTACTTAACGAGTCCGTAAACACGGTTATCAAACAAAGCATTCAGCAGCCCCGACCAGATGTTCCGTGTACGTCTAACCCCTAGATCATTTTTAACTATCACAGACGACTGTAAGCTTCACACTTCTGGAATGCCTTCCAGCCATTCTCAGTTCGCTGGTTTTTTCTGCCTGTATAGTGTTTTGCATATCATCTTCAGGTGGGTATTTGGTATAACTCTACCGTTTGCAGGCTCTATCGTGGACTCAAGCGGCCTGTTTTACGACTGACCTTATGTCTGTTCTCCATATCCTTATGCGTCTTAACCTGTTACAGCAGGTAATGATTATCCTGCTCCACGTTCTTCCTTCCAGGAGCTATTTGAGGTACCACAGCGGATCTCAAATCTTGGTTGGAGTGTCCATAGGAGCGATTCTTGGATTTTTGTGGTACCTCTTAATTAATGTGATACTCTCACCCAATTTCGTGAGAATATGCGACTCGTGAGTTTTTTTAACTACCGGTCTGGCTTTCGCAAACTGCGCACGGTTCTTTCTTACTCACGAGCATTTCGTAACTCTTGACAGTTCTAAATTCAAGCACCTACTGCAACCTATGTTTAGAATGACTGGTTTGTGATAACTAGGAGTCCGAGTTGAATTGGTTGGCTACTTATGTTGACGTGCTTTCTACATGGTTTAATAACTTGCCTTTCGAAATAGATAAGAGAACATGTTCATCGTGGGTAAACTCAGTCACGCGACATCACGAACCTAAACGAGCGTCAGACAGTCCTTTTGGGACTGATCAGCAGCGTACATTTGCTTTGAGTCCCAGGCCATGCGACTTGCAGTTAAAGGCACTGTCACTAAGGAAATACGCCAGGTTGATGGAACATTTAGTACACCTCACATGACGCTTACAATGAATCGGTTTAATGGGACAAGTGTGCATGTTTGAAGGAGTCACTGCTTCACGCTTTCCATATCAATGAAGTTGGCCAGAGGTACTCACCGCCCTGATTGACCGGAATCCACCCATGCTATTATCGACTTATCATGGAATGTTTCTTCTGTAAATACTCTCATTCGTGCTCATCTTAGTATCTGTGGAATATTTAATTTACTATAATGAGTGGTGCTTCTGGGAACCTTGTGATGTATTCCTGCTACGTGGGTCAATGGTCAGGAGCCGGATAGACAACCTATTTTCATACAAGTTGGGGGTTTGGATCAGAGCAGCACTCATTCTTGCAAAATGGTCCATTTTTTGAACTGTTCCCGAGTACCCATCACTCTGATCAGGCCTCTAAGCCGAACGCTTCCATTAAGGACACCAATCGTTCTAAATATTGGCGCTTGTGTTTGATCGGTTGCGAAGCATTATCACAAAAAAGTTGTATGGTTAAAATGGCTGTCACACTCTCGATCAAAAATCTTCGGGGAGTGCTCAGTCCTTTAGTGTCTAACAACCCCTCTTGCGTTCAAGTCTCATTGTTAGCCTAAGGCCGTCGTCACAGGCAGTATATCCGTCCTTGAAATTGGATGTCTGAATCGTGGAGGTATGAACCTGTTTTCTATTATGGCTTGCCATTCGCACACAGTCCGGTTTCATCTCGTCTCTTCAGCAGACGAAGAAAGAGCAATGAAAGCAAGTGCACATAAAACCGGGAGTCCGTTCTTTAATTTGGATTGGCGCGACAAAATTATATATGGCTATGGGGTAGTAACTGCTTTTGTCGTTCCATGCATTTTTACTATGCACTGCAACCGGACTCTAATCCAACACGGATCGTTAGGATAAATTGCACCCAATTGCTACTTAAAACGATGGCGTATCAAATTAAGGCGATCCCTAAATACCGTCTCTTAAAGCATATGACGAGCGGATGCCCATGTCTCATGAATGTGCCTAGTTTTAGACACCGCTCCTATCGCCAGACAGTGCTTGGCTGCGCACAAAGCTTTGCCGGTACATCAGATCGGCTTACTTTACTGTATCTATTCAATTGCATGTTCTGGTGACGCTGTTTCCAGCGCCTCAAGCGTTGAGTAACAGAGTTGCACACTGCTTCTAACTTGATGGGGACTGCACTCACTCGTCGTCGGAAATCCAGTAAACTTTCGTGGAGCAACCATAGGGCCAGGTAACGTAGCTCTGTCTGATTTCTGAATATAAATGCCAGCCAAATGACCAATTTTTGCGGATTTGACTTCGTATACTATTCAGCCGTAGTAAATGATGCAACTACGACCATAGTCAGATGCAGGTAGATATTCGGGAATTTACATCTCATTGGCCAGGAGCAGGCAATGACGAATCATGAACAGTGTCTGTGACCACCTACTATCAGATAAACTGTAGTGCTCATACTTGACACCATTCGGATTGCTACTTCCATAGGAATAATGCTGGGACCGTTTGAAACCTGTTCACCTATCTGACGTGAGTGTTTATGGAAGTGCAATGAATTACATAGGTGCACAAACAATCGCATAAAGTCTAGTCTAGTGCCAACGAAACCGAGCCAACCGGTTTAGCGAACGATTTTCAAGTACTCAACTTCATATGGGCCAACCAATTACTCAGATTAAACGGCTTTGAAAATAAACAATCGCTTCGCCGCCCTCATTATCCAGAACTCACTTCAGTAAGGTAGGAGTGAGAGGAATTAGTCTTGATCAAACTTCACCTTGTACTTCAGAACAATTAATTTCATACGCATGAACTTCGATCTAAGTGCACATTGTTTTTACCCTCCTAGATCGGTTGGCCGTTTCCTGATGCTGCGCGACTTCACTCGCATTCCCGATGTGTTTCTTTTCGAATACACGAGTTCGCTAAATCACAACAGGTCAGTTCACAGTACATTAATACAGGCAACATCGTAAAGTGTTTTTCAAAGGGATCAATCCGGTCTTAAATTCTGAGCACCTCGCTTTCATGAGAAAGGCGATCAGAGACCGCCACGAAATTCATGATCCCCTCAGGCTATTACACATTTTCATGGAATATCATCGGTTAATGCATGTATAAAAAGCGGTTGACAGTTGTCACTGTTTTAAAAATACCGTATATTACCGAATATAAGCCCGTCCATAGATAGGCCGACAGTATTACTTCACGACATCAAACTTGTCCAAAGTCGTAAGTCCCTATATTAGCCGACCCACCCAAAAAGCAAAGAGAAACTAATTTGTTTCTCCATGAATTTGACGTCATCACTACCTGCTCTCACTTGATTGTGTTAAAGCGAAGCCTGCTCTACTACTGGTCATTTGTGGTCGCCGTAATGTAATGTGTTATAATCGCCATTAAAGGGGCGTTAGGCTGTCAGAACAAAGAATTTCAGCGCACGGGACAGTGTATTAACCATATGTCGAGTCACATGAAACATGCAAGACAGCCGACAATATAGGTGAAAGGGTGTCAGACATGCCGCCTCGCATAGCCGAGTGGTCTGCGCGCTTGGTTTGCAATCATAAGGTCACCGGTTCGAATCCCAGTAGTGACGGGCGTCCTCGCGGTACACTGAGCCCACGTGCGACGGGTGATGGTCGCGCGGTAGCGAAGCGCCGTCACGGCGTACAGCTGCACCTTAACTTACAGTGGAGCAGTGCGTGAGAGTAAAGTTCACGGTCAGGAGTGTTGAACGAGATGTGCAGTGAATTACTGTGTGAATTTTGCATGTGACCTTTTTCAAATTGTGTATAGTCTGACCCCCCCAATTCAGAAAGGAAAAATTATCCAAAAATCATCGGCTTATATTCGATAATATATGGTAGATGCTTTTGATCAAATAAGCTCTGTTTGCGTCCCCCTTAAACGATTTGATTGTGAGAGAATCGATCATTACTGCTCATCGAACCTTTCTCTGTTAATGTATTCATTTCGCCCGCTTCCGTTTCAGGCGATTGGAGGATATGGCAGCGCATACACACTGATAGCTTCGTAGAGGGAGTGTTCGAATTCACCAACTGTGATCCCCACATTTCCCACTCCCATACGTGTTATTTCAACGTCTTAACTTGGTTTCTCATTGTTTCGATTTGACCAGTAGTACATTGAAGTCAATATATTTTTATTCAACCAACAGTGTTTTTTGACTCATGAGTTGCAATGGACTGTGAGGGTTGTTCATGGATGCTCCAGTTCTTCGGGTCGAACAGGCCTGTTCATTGGAATCGTCGATCTTTTGTCCACGTCTGTTGACAGCGCTTTTCGCATATCTGGCCAATAACGATAGAGAACGGTCTCTTGTTAGAAAAACGCGAGCAAGAAATGTTACTTTGAAGTAATAATCATCTGTAGAAAAGTAGCAAGTTAGGCAGATTGACAACTTTCGTCTTTGAAAATGTCTACACTGGATTCAAGTTGTTGGTAGCTGTTATCGAGCGATATTTTGACTACACGTTGCTAATGAGATGCTATCACCGTCGATACTTTATCAATAATTTTAGTTCCCATGGAACTGATTCAGGAGTGTGCCATAGCGCATCTTCGCATACTCACGTAAAAATCACACATGGACTGGACCTTCAGTTTTTCGCAGTAGCTAACCTTCAACCAGACTCGAAGTGGGTGGAATGTTCATGAGAAGAATCGTTAGCCTAGCCTGCGGACGATCACTTGAACTCACCTAGGGCATCTTCATCCTCCAAAGATCCCCAGTAGTAGTTTAACACTCGACGATATACGGTGTAACCGAGTTTCGTGTAAATTTCCAGACCTAGCTTATTGGATGCCCGTACAAACAAATCGACGTAGTAACACCGTTTTCTGAAACAAAAAGGTGCATAGCGTTAAACAGGTCACCGAGCATAAAAATATACCGAGAGACCACACACATACTAGCAGAAAAAGTTGGTGGAAGCATATTTCACTTCTACACACTCTAAGTTGGCGAATTAAGAGTGACGTAGATCACTGATTGTCCAAGGTATTCGCCTTTTTTGTAAACGAAAGTGCCGATAAAGAGTTACTGCAAACATTGTGATTCAGCGATACTGGCGGGGAATCAAAGAAGTGCCAAGATCAAGTCTTTTCGCACTATTGGGATGATTTGCACGCAACGAGTGAACGGGTTAGTTAAAAGGTAAGCCCACTGATACCTATGTGGCAGATTCTGGTTACTGATACAATCATCCTTGAATTAATAACTTGTGATGAGATGAACGCTTGACCTAATAAATATCATACGGATATCCATCTTGTAGTGATAAAGAATACTTTTTTGATTCATTTGTAGTATCAGTTGTTTAGACGGATAATGACACGAAGGGGAAATGCCACGAGTTGAGGCCACTGAGCTACAGGAACGATAACGACAATCGTGACTAGTCACCAGATGTTATATGGTGTTGTCCCAACCACCGACTGGCAACAGTCGAGCCACGAGTTCGAGCCCCACAGGGATTAGATGGAATGCGCACTGTCGACAAATCCCTGAATGGTGAAACGGCCGTACAGTGTTCTTCAGTGCGTTTACTGGCTGTCTGACTGAGTCTAGAGGTGATGAATCTCCACCTACATCATTCAACTCCCCTTACTGCTCTCTAGTGTTCGGATTTTTTCTCCCTTGCAATATTTTGTGGGTACAACGATATGAGGCGTGGTTCAACAAAACAGAACCCCAGTGGATCACGCAAATTAAGCCGAAAACAGTGGAAATGTTGGGTGATATGTTGAAAATAATGACAACTCACCGATCAGATGTTTCTTCAAGATCCAACATCAACTGAGTGGCTAAACCAAGGCGACGGTACTCCGGGGCGACCGACAGCGCTGTCACATGACCGTGCCAGTCCGTTCCACGGCCTTCAGATTTTCCCATCATATAACCCATTAATCTACCACATGTGGTTGGAATTGAATCGGTTTTGTCACTTGATCCTGAGCCCGTTTCTGTACTGGCCTTCCACGATGTCTCACTTTGTTGTGGGCCCACATTGGGTCCGAAAGCTACCAGTGTGGGAGACTCCAGAACCTGAACATGCTCGGGCCACATAGACAGGTAGTGCAGGTAGAATGTTATGCTATACTGCACGGATGTTGTTAAGGAAGCGCCGGTAAATATGCTTAACAACGCTCATGTGTCTAGCAGTTCACGAACTCGGAAGTTGTGCTATGCGCCAAGTTAAAAAGTGTATGTTGACGATACGATATAACAATTTAAACAAGATAATCGTAATCCTATCGCTCAGAGAAAAAAGTGAGCGAAATTACACGAACGGAAGAAGCCACAGTATTGAACAGGACGTAAGTTGGTAAAATTCCAACCGGTGGGTTAGTGGCAATGTGCGATCAGCCCTTCTAGGAGTACATCTCAGTGCTTTGCTTATTCCTCTAGGGCCACTCTAGTACAACTGTAACGGGGTTATCATGCAAGTCGAGCATTCTGGGGTGAAGTAAGCCGTTTATTGCGGAAGAAATCGTTTATTGGACTTGGCGGCTACATCAGCGTGTCCCCCAGGTACATGCGAAGGATGAGTGCTCGCAGTCCGAAAAGGACTGGTTGCTCACTCTCATGGGTGAGGTCACCCATGGGTTAAAACCATGCTGTTAACTAACCGAACAAACGAGAATCGTGCTGATCGAGTCTGAAAACAACAACATACCTGCCGCTCGATATGCAGCGGCCGTCGATCGTACCGAATACTGTGAAACTTATCACATTTAGGCGGGAATCAGCAACGAAGTCTGGGTCTCAATCAAAACGCTGTTATTCAGAGAACCCGGGTTCATTTAAATCTCACATATGTGGCACAGTTCTTCTGGCTGGTTCTTTCGCAGCATTCATGTTCGTGCTACTTCTAAGTAATTTGGTTATCGACGCGTTTACTCGGGGTCGACGCCAGCAGACAAAAGGTCAGCTTGGGGTAATTGCTGCTTGGTCTTTAGGTACCATCACAAATTTATCAGTTTCAAAAGACAGCGTAGTAGCGCGAATGTTCGGAAAGGATGTGGTTGAAGATTGCAAACGACCTGGCAGTGTAGTCCGAACACTCGGTCGCACTGTTTTGGCTTCCTTGTCTTTCCGATTCACTCCTCATACATCTGGAGCCAAATATATAGTATGCGTCCGGTCGAGGGTTCCGAGGACTTCTGGTTTCGGGGCGTACTTGGATCGTATTAGACGGAGGGGGCTGAAAGGTAGAAGATGTACTTTGTAGGCGACTTGACAGTTAAATCACAACCACCTAGTAAGTGTCGGGACTGTATGAGGTATGTGCCTGTGTTACACCTCGTGGCTAGCTGGACAGTGTTGTCACAGCTGCCGTTGGAAGACCGAGCGCGAGACGACTGGATGGATGAAATAAGAACGCGCGCGATATGGCTAACCATATCGAAGAAGGGATGGGAAGGCAAGGAGAAGGGGAAACGACAATCACATCTTGGGCTACATTCGACGACAGCTTACCTATTGGCTTGCTACGAAGACACTGACGCGCTACATTGTCCCCCAATTTTGAGGCACTGTCCTCAGCGCCTACAGTAGCCCTGACCCATGTCGACCTGCTGACGCAAAGGACTGATGAGCGCTGAGTTATCAGCGATTGATTGGGTTTCCGTGAGCAGCCGGTTGTGCGCGGCCCCTATGGTGCTACACGGAGTGGCAACAGACCCTACTTGTCTGTGGCTGCCGTTTATGCCCAGCCGAATGTAATCCTGAAGCTGCCAGGGGATACACCTACCACGAACTGAATGCGTCGCTTCGCAACGTCATCGGTTCAAATGCCGTTCTATTTGCAGGGAACATAGATGCACAAGTAAGGCGTTCGAGCTCCATAGCTAAGTTAGGATCTAACTCCGAACACACGAACGATAGCGGGTGTTTACTACATCTATGTGCAGATTATCGGCTGTTTACTGGGAGTAAGGCTTTCAGACACAATGGGCGCTGAGGCGTCACTTGGTGTCTTGTAGATGGCAGGCGACAAACCCAAACGGATCATATTGCCATACGCTTGGGTTAGCGTGATCCCATTATTGACTACCGCCATCACTGGAACACGTGCGTCGACTCTGATCAAGCACTGACACACTGTCGATTTTCAATCAACTTCACCTAAGGGCGCACTAAACATCTCTCTTGATTGGCATCCGAGAAGTTATCCCACACCTCGGTTAGTCAAGCCTACCAGGATGTCTTGCGCACTGAACTCTCATCCACTTATCCTAAGGACATCGAGCTTCAATGGATTAGCATTTCGGACGTTATACATGATGCGAATCATCATTATACCAGGCATTGGATATACAAAAAGGTCTGTGAAACTTGAAATCCACAGAGGAAAATATAGTCAGACGGACTACCAAGCGTGAAGTAAGACGGAGTCTGTGTGATGGCAGGAGACTTGATGCACCCAGGAGTTCAATAAAAGAGGAGGCGAAGGAGGTTGGCAGTTGCCATAGACTCATCTAACTGATGCGCACACCACTGGTTCTCAGAATTCGTGCCTCAGTGCAGTAATCAGAGACAACATGAAGGCACTGATACACTGTGAGAAACATCATCTCGTACTTCTGACGGAACAATGAGGGCGGTCCAGTTGGCTGGCTGCTCATAGACTGCTTTCCCCTCAAGCAGTACGTGTCGAATTATGGATGTTTAGCGTAGAGGATCCATCAGAGGCGTTTCGAAACGCAGTAATGGTCCATAATCGTTCCTACAGTTCCGGTCCAGATTTTGTTGTACCTGGTGATGAGGCCAAACGCAAAGTGCCACCCCATTTGTTCGAACAGGTATGTAAAGAAAAGGTCATCCAAGTCAACTGGAGTGAATCGTTGTAGCAATATGTAAGAACAGCCGCACTGTTTGTGCTAACTACAGGACCATTAGCCTAACGCCTGCGATGATAAAGTTACTGAGGAACAGCAGTCCCTGACTGTAGAAGAGCAAACCGGTTTCCGCCCGGAACGGAAGCTGTATAGGCCTTATGTTTACTCTGTAATAGGTGACAGGACATCGTTACCCGTACTGTAGACCGACTATTACTGTGTTCCTCGATATGTATATTTACCGACAAGCGGTACACGATCCATAAGCTGGAGCGATCATTTATACTGTATTTTTCATGGACAATACGACATAAATTCATAATAGTAAAGTAAATTTAAATAATAGACTTCCGGATCATGAATTTTCCCGATCACTTCATATGTGAAATGTACTGATATTTGCATCACCATTCTCTAGTTTGTGAGGCTCAGTAGTAGATAATAAAAGGGAGGGGATAACAGATTGCACAGACACAGTAGTTGGTAATGACATGGAGTCGGTAAGCTGATTGTAACCAACTAGCTGCTCATATGTTATTTATACCAGCTTCCGTCAATGTTTAGAGTTTGTTGTGAGTCAAAGATCTTCAACACATTTGGCATAGTGAGGAGATGAAGTGAGATTCTGTCGAAAGGATACTGTTTCCGTGTATGGGTCCAAGTTGCTGCAAAAATACAGATATGATAGAAAGTGTTCACTAAGCTAGGGAACACAGTGAGCCACATGATACGCAATCCGAGAGAAAATCTTAATGCTACCAATGAGGAAGAACGGTGCGCAATAACGAAATATGCCAAGATAGAAAACGCTAGTAGAATGAACGCGCGGCAATATACACGATCCAGATAATCTGGTCAATACACAGAATAGGCAGTGGCTACACCCCGTGTAAAAACTGAATTACTGAGAGGGGTCGTATAACGGGAGCTTTCAAAAGAAAACTACCGCTTAATGTTCTCAGTGAGACCCTGCTCAGCTTCAAATAGTTGTGCCGAAGGATAATGAAATTGAAATAAGGGAAACTCATTCTCGTGGCTAACTGTGAGGGGCTAGCACGACCATTAGTGAGAGTGGTCGATATGGAAGAAGGTGGAGATAAGAGACCCCCAGAAGTCTTAGAACAAACTGACTAACCAATGACCTGACAAGCTTGTCTTGCCCAACGTGATTGTTGCATTTTGCACACTAGGTGTTTGCAACCGAACGCGTGGCAGCTTAAGTAAGAAATCTAGTGGATAGCATCGTCCTATCAGACAAAGTATTCAAATGAATCACGAAGGGTTACCAGAGCTAAAATACTGACAAAAACGATGTCTAGGCCTAACGAATAAGGAAAGGTAATTTTAGGACCAGCGATGAGATGACTCAGATTCAGTGAGAAACCGCATAAGTAGCTTTAAAAGGTGTTTCATAGTAAAGGAAATTTAAAGTCTACTCAACGAAGAAACGTACATGTTTGAATATTTCAGGAGATCAAAACAAGAAAAAGGTCGTACAGAAACCATCCAGTAGCCAGCAAGTGACTGAAAAGTAAAAGAAATTTATGTTGAATCGCACGCAGAATCACGGTAGCAGTATAAGAATGGATAAATGAATAAGCAAATAGAGAAGTATACTCCACGGTTCAGTGGGACATATTATCTGTTAGGATGAATTTGTACATAACTGTAATCGTAACACAGTGCTTTACCACACATCGTAAGACTGAGTGAACGCTAAGCAGGTTAATCGATTTCAACTGTTTTGTAATTTATACGCGTTTGTATTTTTCTGATATCAGTTGTACAGAGTTCCTCAAAGAAAAACATCAATCATGTATAAAATATTTGCCAACAAAAACCACTAATTCAGAAAAAGGAAATAGTGACTATTTGCATGAAGGAGCCACCAAACACACATTTGGGACGAACAGAGTACGCTTCGCTGTTAGGTTTTGTTGCCCAGTTTAAGAGTTCCAGGACGCAAGATCAGTTAGGATCGACAGTAAAATAAATAATGCAACGTACCAAATACAATACGTGCTCCAGTGTACAGTAAGCCCAAATTCATCCGTCATGAAAATGCCATTTTCGGTTGCACTCAGCCTCACAATCAAATCCTCTTCAGAGGTTAGGGAGAGGGTGATGGCCCCTTCCTTTAAAACCTTGTCATAAGAGACAACAGATCAACGGGCTATAAGCTCTCAGTTTGATGAGCGTATAGCCCGGGTCCCACACATTGCCTCTGACGGTGGGATGACACCTTCCGGTGCTCAATGGTTTGCTACCACCCGCCTCAAGCTAGGCAGCTCCTCGTCAAATTGACGCAAAACCGCCAACGCCCACTTGCGGCTGGATGTGGTCGCAGGCATTTAAGTTAATACGGTCGTAAAACACGTGTGCACTGTTCTAAATCTTAAAAGGCTGTGTGTAACAGGCCTCAGGCAGACCGCAATGGGCCTCAGAAATCACACCTCGAGCTGGACTTACTCCCCACTGCATTGTGAGTCAGGCTATTGAGTCGAAGGCTCCGGGTAAAATCCATCAAGCGAACCTCCATGAGTTCCAGTGCCTTGTGGATCACTGTCGAGTCAAAGGCCAGAAGCAGGACACCTCGAACAAAACCCCTTTCTCGGAATGGACAGCCGGAGAGTATCATCTACCCCCTCGAACCCGTCGGCAATGCTTTCTCTTCTTGTTTTTCTCTCTCCTCTCAACTCTCTTCTTCTTTGTCTATTGAGCAAGAGGCTGCTGGTGACCTCGCAACTGCTGCCATCAATACCGTTTGCAATTTCGGAACTAACGCTCAGTGGCTGGTTCGTAGCCGAAGTATCGCAAAACAAAACACGTCGGGCAAAACTATTCTAACCAGCAAGTACAGCGCATCGATCCAAACTAGGGGAAATGGATGAGTGGGTGAGCGGGTTACTGACACACGAAAGCAGATGCAGGCAACGAATAGGAAGGGCTCAGTACATTGGCCGTGGCGATGCCACATTCCTTCTCCCTTTAATTTGGACCACGTCACCTAGCTTGATAACGATCGACGGGTCCGCGTTACCGAGTTGAAAGGTGACAATGCTGTGTCTCCTATTGGCCTGAGTTTTGAGAGTGCTGCGTCCCTTTCAACTCAGTATGCTGGTTTGAGGACGCGTCATCTGGCGGAATTGAAACAAAACGATGGCGGACGTGATCCCTGTGACGAGTAACTACTCTGCCATCAGGTAAATCCACCTTCGTATGTTGTTCCGCAGGTCATATTGTTAAGAAACTTGACGTAGACCGGTTCATTCTCGCAGAATATTGAACGGAAGCCTTCTGGTCGTACTCTGGCTTAGATTTATCTTGCCTAGCGTCGACACGTAGCCTCTGGCTAGGAAACAGAAGATACAGCCGTGTCCTCATCTTCCCTCCGAACATTAACTCGCCTGGCCTATTCTCAGTAGTTTCCTTTGACGTGGTGCGGTAGCCAACAAGAAATTTGTCCAACTTTATTCGCAATGGAACAGACGCTGGTTTCTGTAAACCGTTCTAAACCGTCTGGACAGCTCTTTCTGCCAACTCGTTTGAAGATGGGTGGTAGGAAACTGATTTCATATGATACATACCTGTTGTGACGCTGACTTCGCCTCTGCTCTCTGAGTAACTGCACTGCCCAGTCGAAGAAAACAGAACACCGAAACCTGCTGACCTGCGGGCGCGTTTCGGTGGACGTCCGCAACGTCCCTCTCAGCGCATTGATACCAGCCAGTTGGCGAAACCGGGTGTTCTGAATACGTATCAAATTACACTGGCATCTAGGCTGAATAAGCGTCCACTAAACACCGTTGAAGATCACTGATCGCACATTCGTCAAACCGGCTAGAAGCGAACACAGTGAGACTCGATAAAATCTCAGGGCAAAACTGCGTGCTAGCCTGAAGAAACACTGCGTAGTCCGGTGGTCTCCTCGTGTCTCGATGGAAACAGTCGCTGCCGTTGGTAATCATCGTAAATTATTCCGTGTGATACGGGAAACAGGCAGCAGCAGATCTGGTATTAGAGAAACTATACGTCAAAGTGTTTGAGGCCTTGGACTGAGCATTTTAGAAAGTAATTTAATCGGCTAGAATTGTTCGATACTCCGCCAGCCAGTGATCGCCCTGCTCCGTGGGCTGTCTGTTTGGATCCACTCTCTCGCTCAGAAATCGAACGTGAGATCGGACTGTTGAAGTTGAACAAAGCCACGGGACCAGATGAGCTTCATCCAGCCTTCTTCAAATTCGGAGGCTCTGTTCTTGTTGATGATTTACATGAATTACTAATGAAACTATGGGAGCAGGAGACTGTCCCAACCGACTGTAGGCGCTCCGTTATTGTTCCCATCTTCAAAGGAGGCTCGCGTTCGGAATGCGGCAACCATAAAGGAATCAGTCTGATCTCCATCTCCTCCAAAATCCTTCAGACTTACTGGCGCTCGTGAAAGCCAGTTTCGTGAGGGGCAAGCCGGCCTTCGTCGGGGTCGTAGCTATATCGACCACATTACTTTGCGTCAGTTGTTGGAGCACCGTCACACATATTAGCGGTCCATCGTAGTCGTGTTCCTCGACATCAAAAGTGCCTTCGATTCGGTTAATCGACGTGCCCTTTAGAATTACCTACTCAGGAAAAGTGTGCCGGAGAAATATGTAAATATCATCCGAGCATTATATGCGCGTAGCACGGGCAGAGTGAGGGCTTACGGCAAGCTGTCGCCACTCTTCCATATATCCAGCGGTGTGAGACAAGGATGTCCGTTGTCACCATTCCTCTTCAACTTCCCTATTGACGAAGTCATGGAGATTGCATTTACAGGACATAACGTGGAAGGTGTGGATCTGCTCCCAGGAGAACGACTTCTTGACTTGGAGTATGCAGACGACATTGCCCTCATCTGTGACAGCTTCCAGACGTGCCAAGCCGCGCTGGACAGATTAGCACTGGCTGTCAGTCGCTTCGGGCCTTGCTTTGCACCATCGAAGTGCAAAGCCTTCCTCAAACATTGGCAGGGATCGCCTCCTGAGCTGACCCTTGGTGGGGATTTGCTAGAAGTCGTTCAAAAATTCAATTACCTGGGAAGTTGTATCAGCGCCCTTGGGATTGAAGATGAGATCACGAACCGTATAGCAAAAGCTCGAAGTGCTTTTGCTAAACTTCGCCACCTATGGCGACGGCGCGGCATCACTCTTGCCCTGAAGGGTAGAGTGTACGATGCAGCAGTACGTTTGACCCTACTGTACGGTTGCGAAACCTGGCCCCTGAGATCGGCAATCATAAAGAGGCTAGTTACGTTCGATCATCGATGCCTTCGCAGTTTGGCTCACATCTGATTGGAACACCGCGTAAGCAACGAGCGTGTTCGTCGCCTTGTTTACGGCACAGAAAAAGGAACTGAACCGCTCAGCACCGTTATTTCACGCACCAGGCTCCGATGGCTGGGCCACGTGTTGCGCATGCCAGCCCACCGACTCTCGCAACGTGCGTTGTTTGCGCGTCGGGGGTGTGGATGGAAAAAGAGGAGGGGTGGCCAAGTGTTGACTTGGTCGAGAGGAATGAAGGCCCTCACTTCGCAGCTGGCCTCGGTTGGAGCGTCACGGCACCCTGGTTAGGGTCCGAAAACCGATGAACACGTTTGGCTGGATACACTTGCTGACATGGCTAGGAGCCGACCTCAGTGGCGTTCGTGTTGTGAGTTTCTTTATCCCTCCCCATCCCTTTTAGCCTCCCCCTCCAATCACGATCTCATTTCGTAGCGTAATATAATTTTACATAATAATTTTTCTTTTTGCCTAGTAGCCGGTTGGTAGATTACCGGAACGATTCCTATCCGTTTCTGGTAGCTCAGCTGGCAAGCAACTTTTGTATTTATTTCCATTTTCCTTTATGTATTTCGGCACAGCTGAGGTGTTTTTACACCTTTAGCTAACGTGTATAATAATGATGATGAATGATGATAGAGGGATCAGTCTGATCTCAACTGTTTCTAAATTACTTGCATCTGTCGTTCTCCACAGACTGACTGGCGCTCGTGAAGACCAAATCCGCGAAGAGCAAGCCAGGTTTCGTCGGGACCGAAACTGTATCGAGCACATCTTCACTTGGCGTCCATTATTGGAGCACCGCCATGTTTATTGGCGACCCACCGTTGTGGTGATTTTTGACATAAAAGGTGCCTTCGACTCAGTCGACCGACGTGCCTTTTGGGACTGCCTGCTGAGAGGAAAGGTGTGTCCGATAATATGTAAACATTATCAAGACGCTGTACGCGCATAGTTCGGGCAAAGTGAGGGTTTATGGCGAACTGTCGCCGCCCTTCAATATCTCCAGAAGTGTGAGACAAGGTTCCATCGCAATGATGCTGGACCTTACCGTGGTGCGAAGGTTTGCGTGCCTCAGAGATTCATTGAGCTATGCTGGGTGGTGCTTTTTGTGCACCTTCAGAGCCACTCATACCAGATTGGTCAATGGTTAGAGGCCAGACAAACTCAGCCTCCTGGTCCTCCAGGTTGGGGGCTGGAATGGGGGTG